GTATGAATCGGCGCTGGTTTTGAAATTTAGAAGTTCATAGTTCATAAGCTTGAATTTGGGTTGCGATTCGTAGAATTTGTGTTGTTTGATGTGATTTGGCGCTTCGAGCATGTTCGTATGATATTTTAGGACTTATTGTTATGTTTGGTCGAGGTCTGGATTGCCTCGGGTGTAATTCGAACCATGTTCGGCGCATTTCGAATCATTGAGGAGTTGCTGAATATGGTGCTTCTAGAGTCCTTATATGCGATCGTGAATGGATTAACGCGATCGCAAAGGGTAATTTGGCACTGAGGGAAATTTGTTCTATGCGATCGCTTGAAGGGGCATACGATCGTGGAATGCTGGTTTTTAGTGAATCGCGAACGCATGGAGGAGGTCGTGTTCGCGTAGAGGAATTTGGGGGTAGCAGGTCCACGTGCTTTGTTCATTGCGATCGCGTGTAGGGAACCGCGATCGCATAGCTTGATGAGGCAGTGTTTCGCATTCGCATGAGATATCTCGCATTCGCGTATAAGATTTTGAGCTGATGAAATATTTGTTCTTCGCGATCGCGATGTGTAAATCCCTGGGCAGCAGACTTAAGTTTCAAAATCGAGGGTTTATTCCATATTTTATATTCTGGACTTAGAAAGCTCGGTTTGAGGCGAAATTTCGAGGGATTTTCAGGGAGATCATTGGGATAAGGATTCCTAACTCGATTTTGGTTAAATTACTTGAATATAACATTGTTTTTATCATGTAATTAGGGATTGGAGTTGGAAAAATTGGGGGAAAGTGATAGAACTTCTTAGGCTAAATTTTTGAGTTTTGAAATACGAAATGAGGTCGAATTTGAATAATTCTTGTATGGTTGGACTCGATATCGAACGGGTGTTCGGTTTTAGTAATTTTGGTCGGGTACCGAGACGCAGGCCTGGGGTGACTTTTTGGGTCAATTTTTCAATTCTTTGCAAAGATTGTAATTTCATTGTTTGAATTAGTTTCCTATAGTTATATTTATAGTATGAAATTATTTTTGCTAGATTTGAGTCGTTCGAAGTTGGAAAATTGAGGGAAAGACCTTCTAGTTAATTGATTTAGCGTGGTTTGAGGTAAGTGACTTGTCTAACCTTGTGCGGGGGAATTTTTCCTTAGGATTTGGTATTGATGAGATAATTGTGATAAGTGAAAGCCGTGTATGCAAGGTGACGAGTGTGTACACGGGCTCAATATGAAAATTCCTGGTTTTTAGCTATGTAGTTTCCTTTCATGCTTTAATTGAGTTACTTTAACATGTTAGAGTCATCATATTTAGTCTAATCTCACATGTCTACTTGTCTTATCTCTTATTTGCAAATTGCCGTACATGTTTAGTTGAAGTACTTTCTTTCTTTATTCCGTATTCATTATTTCACTATTGAATTCTTTACTTGAAATTTCTATTCTTGGAATATCTTGTTGTTGAATTTGGTATTGAGTTGAAAAGGTCGTGGTTCCTATTGAGACAAAGTGTAAATTGGGAAATATCATTTTATTGAGTTAATCTCCGGTTGTTATTGTTGAGACTTTGTGTACATTGTGGTTAAGTCGTGGGCTCCTTATTGTGAAATTCTATTATTGTTTGGCTTTTCTAGCAAGTTATGATATTGGACACTTGAGGTGCGAATTGCGATACGTTGTGATATTAATATGCATGCGGTGGTATAAGGTCTGGGTGTTGAAACGCATGCGGTGAGATAAGGTGGACTTGATACGTGTGTGTAGTAGGGGAACTACTAGAAGCCATATGGAGTGATAAGGTGGGCTAAAACGCGGGATGCTATTTCGGAAAAAATGATTTTCAAAACTAAATATAAAGGCTCTCGCGGTGATATAAGTAAAGATTGTGAGTTACTTTTGTGATTTGGGACTACGAGGTGGTACCTCGGTAGTGGCCCTTGATGATCTTTCTCTATTTGTTGTACTTGTCTTGGTTGTTTGTTTCCTTAACATGTCAATCCTTGCTTTCTTCCGTGTTGTATTATCTGCCTTGATTCTGTGTAGTTAACTTTTCGTAAATTCTTTATTTGTTTTGTTTCTATTGTCCTTATCATTGTATTGTTATATCTTTCATCCTGTTTCCTATTATTTTCAGTAGAGCCTTGACCTGACCTCGTCACTACTCTACTAAGGTTAGGCTTGGCACTTACTGGGTATCGCTGTGGTGTACTCATACTACGTTTCTGCATATCTTTTTGTGCAGATCCAGGTACATCTTATCAGTCCCGACACTAGTAAGCTGAGATTGCATTTGGAGACTTCAAGTTACACTTGCCCGCGTCCGCAGGCCTCGGAGTCCCCTTTATCCCTTTTTATATTTTCCTTCCTTATTAGGCACAGTTGTATAGGAATGATTTAGCATTGTCATAGAGCTTGTGACTTGTATTACGCCGGGTTTTGGGCTATTTTATACACTTTGAGATGTAAAGATTTCCCTTTATATATATGTTGTTGAGTTTTAAGATTTTAGATTATTGTTTTCATTCACTTTCGCATGTTTGTTAGGCTTACCTAGTCATAGAGACTGGGTGCCGTCACGACATCCTACAGAGGGAAATTGGGGTCGTGACAGCATGTTTTTAAGTTTCATTGAAAATTTCATTAGTTTTGGTGTCCGATTAGTAGTTCTAGGTGTTATTTTGATGTTTTGATCGCGCGAGCAAGTTCGTATGATTTTTCGGACTTGTGTGCATATTTGGTTTGGAGCCCCGAGGGCTCGGGTGAGTTTCGGATAGGGTACAGACCATTTTGAACTTAGAATTTCTGGTTTTCTTGAAGTCGGTTGTCACCTGATGCTTTGTGCTTCGCGATCGCGAAGCCACTCTCGCGATCGCGAAGGGGAAATTGGGGTTGGGGTGGTTTTCTTCATCGCGAACGTGATGACTGGGTCGTGAATGCGATAGCTGGGTCGCGAGGGATTTACCTTTAGCGAATGCGTAGGGCTATGGACCTGGGAGGGGTTACTAGGCTAGTATTCTACGTGAACACGACCATTGGGTCGCGAACGCGATGGCCAGGGGGGAAGAGCCATCGCGAGCACGAAGGACATCTCGCGAACGCGAAGGCCAATTGGATCGTTATGCATCGCGAACGCGAAGAAGGCCTGACGCTCAGACCTTAACCCTTTCATAGGTTAGTGTACTTTAACTTATTTTCTTCCATTTCCATTATCACCCATTAATTTCTAGCCTTAATCTATGTTCTTTCATGATAGAAAATTAGGGAGTTGGGAAGAATTTNTTACATAATCGGGCTCGGGGGTGAATGGGTAAATGGATTTTGGTGAGAAACTCGAGTTTTGACCAAGCGAGCCCGAGGTTGACTTTTGCTGACTTTTTGGGAAAAGTGTAAAGATCTTAACTTTATGTATTGTAATTGATTTCCCTAGCATTATTTGATGTTATTGAGTCGATTTTGATTAGATTCGGTTGGTTCAGAGGCGGATTTTAGAGGAAAGGCCTCGGTAGAGCCTTGATTTGCTTGCGGAACGAGGTAAGTGTTGGGTCTAACCTTGATTTGAGGGAATTAGGAACTCTTGAGCTATGTGAAATTCATGTGTAGCAGCGTATATGCGAAGTGACGAGTGTATATATGCCGTCAAAATACTTGTTTCCATGCTTTTTCGTATTTCATTAATCATTTTATTCCATGTCTTAACCGTTACATACTTTAATTGCTTCCTATGCCTTAATTTGCTATTTGTCATTTATTATTCTCGTATTAAAATGTTAGTTTCTCCCATGCTTCCATGATTTAATTGCTACTTGCCTTAATTGACTTACTTGTACCTTAGGTTATCATTTATTTGACTCATCTTACTGCTTAGTATTTATTTTAGCAATTCTTGATTTGGAACGAGATTTCCCTTATGGTTCTGCCTTCATATTCGTTAATCGTAGAGATTCTTGTGATTCGAGTTGTTGAATTGATTTCATTTATTGATTTGTGTTTATGGATCGGGTTGCACGCCGCAACAGATAGAATAAGGGAGGATTGATATGGTGAAATAAGAAAGGATTATGATTTTGATTCTGATTATATGGTGGGATCGGGTTGTGCGGCGCAACATAGTTTTACTTGTTATTATTGATATTTACATGGTGAAATAAGGGAGGATTATGATATTGATTCTGATTATATGGTGGGATCGGGTTGCGCACCGCAACATATTGTACTTGTTATTATTGATATTGACATGATGGAATAAGGGAAAATCGTGTTTGTACGGGGGGATCGGGTTGTGCGCCGCAACGATTTATGTGTTTGCATTCCTTGTTGTATTGTGTTGGCTTCGGTGTTTTCATACGAGATTCTGAGGATTTATAATTCTGGTTTTACTAGCTTTCGAGGATTGAGTTTATTGTCATGAGTTAACTGCTTTATTTTCCTGTATTTCCTTTCCTGTCATTATAATTATACTACGTACAGGTTATCGTAAATGACCCGCCTTGGCCTCGTCACTACTTCGTCGAAGTTAGGCTCGACACTTACAGAGTACATGGAGTCGGTTGTACTCATACTACACTCTGTACTTCTTGTGCAAACTTTGGAGTCGGTCGCAGCGGGGGTCAGTAGATTGCTCGGATCGGACATCTGACGGAGACTTGAGATACAGCTGCTCAGCGTTCGCAGCCCTGAAGTCCCCTTCTACTTTATCCTAACTGTTTACTTTGTTTCATACAGTTTTACTTTCATTCAAACTATTATATGTATTATTCTAGTTGTCTGTGCACTTGTGACACCAGATCGGGGTTGTATTTAGATATCTCAGTTGTTATGACTTTTCCCACTATATTTCAATTCTCTTACAGTTATTTCAGTTTAATTGGCATCTGTTAGTTTGATTTGTTAAAAGATAGCTTAAAACTATTCTAACGTTAGTTTGCCTAGCAAGTGATTTGTTAGGCGGCATTACGGTCCCAAGGGTGGGAGTTACAGTTACTGAAACGGACGAATTGCTAAATGTAGAAGAAGAAGAATTTTCTGAAATAGTGACAGCTTTAGATGTTTCTGTACTATGTATATTTTTTTGAAACAATGATATCGCAAGATGTTTTTTTAACTATGCACATCAATCAAAATCGAGATCAAATACTGATCCCTCGATCCCCCTTCGGGCCACATAGTTACACAAGTACACCAGGTGCAATGCAAGAGAATTCGATGATTGGCGCCATTATATCTGATTACTTTGTTGTAAATTCCGAAAGAATATGGTCTTCATAAAGTAAAGCAATAGTTCCAAAGTCCAGAACCTCATCATTGAGAACTATAACGCATGATCGTTGGATTTCTTGTAGGATAAGATGATGCTTCAACCTGCAATATAGAGCTGGAGAAGAAATGGCTTCAACTATAGGAAACATGGATACAATCAATAAGAGAAGACATAGACCCTACATTATGACATAGAGACCCTACATTATGACATATGATAATTAATTATTCAAATGTTTGCAGCAGTCCTTTAGAAAAGATAAGTATATCCTGATTAATCTTTTCAGTGATAAAAAGTTTTAAATAGGGTATCTTGATTCACCAAATAGTAGATCTTTTGCTTCCTCATTAGCTATCTTGTTAAATTTCGAACCTCTAGTTAAATATTCAAATGTTTCCAGCAGGCTCTGCTGTCCTTTAAACAGATAATTATATCCTAATTTATCTTTTTCCTGATAAAAAAAGTTTACATAGAGTTTCTTGATCGGAAAAGGATCAAATATATCTCTGTACTATTCGAAATAGTTTAAATGTACCCTTCGTTTGAGTATCCATTCACTTATATCCCTACCTTCATATCATTACACTTATTTGCCCTTAATTTAGACAGCGGGACACGTGACAGGCTAAAAAAGAAATAACCTACACCCAATTTTAATACCCGAAAACCCACTCTTGAACACCCGACCCGTTCAAATCATGGACTGATATGACAACGAGCCAAAGTACCATATCTCTTTTCATATCTTTTATTTCTTCGTCAAACCCACTTCGGCCGACTGCTACAGCCTCGCCGGTACCATATCTCTTTTCATATCTTTTATTTCTTCGTCAAACCCACTTCGGCCGACTGCTACAGCCTCGCCGGTACCATATCTCTTTTCATATCTTTTATTTCTTCGTCAAACCCACTTCGGCCGACTGCTACAGCCTCGCCGGTACCATATCTCTTTTCATATCTTTTATTTCTTCGTCAAACCCACTTCGGCCGACTGCTACAGCCTCGCCGGAAAGAGCTCCCGTCAACAGGACTTCAATGGTGATAGAGTAAATATGAACCAGCCAACAAAAGAAAAAAAACCAGATTAACTCATCTGTTTGGAGTGGGACTTTCTGGACAAATAACACCTGATATTTGCTCAAATCTTACCAGATTATACACTCTTAATAGTGCACTTTTCGATGTAATTCCAACGATGAAGAAAAGAAAGAAATAGAAAGAGAAAAAGAAATAGAAAGGGAAGAAAAGAAAAAAAAGGGTTCCGGCAAAAGGCGATAGTTTCCGATGACATCAGGTGAAGCTTGAAACTGGGGAAGGGCATAGTTAACGGTAGAAAATAAAGTCACCAAAAGAAGGAATTTCTTCCATTTCAACTTATTACTGCTAATCTCCAAATGGTGTTAAAGAAATTAATCTTTACAACAAGAAAAACATACTATCTAGTGTAAGCCAAAATAATAAAGTCGCCGACGAAGGAGATTTGGCATATCAGGTGAGAAGGCTTACAGCAACTCCCGGGTTACATCCAGCTAGGGCAGGGATTTTCCCTTTTTATTTTATTTTGGTGAACTTACATAAAACAAAAAGTGGACAATTGTCAAGTTTTTACATGTCTCAAGTAGAAATCTTTTATATTTGAATGGATCGGGTATTAAAGAGTGGGTTTTCGGATATTAAAATTGGGTGTGGGTTATTTCTTTTTTAGCTTGCCACGTGTCCCGCCGTCTAAATTAAGGGCAAATAAGTGCAATAGTATGACGGTAAAGATATAATTGAACGTATACTCAAACGAAGGGTACATTTAAACTATTTTGAATAGTACAAGGATATATTTGACCTTTTTCCGTTTCTTGATTGACCAAATATATCTTCTGCTTCCTTATTAACTACCTTCTTTTTAAATAAGGTCAAGTTCATTCATCAGGAACCAAGATGGTACAGAAAAGAACAAAGAGCATCCCAGAAGCAGTAATCATCCCCTGCATCCCTCCTAACAAATCCAGAAAATCCATAAACTGAAATAGATTTACTAATAAGCTACCCTTACACCAATAATACAGATTACGAATACATTTATTTTATTATTAAGTTTAGAAATGTGATTCCTCTGTCCTTCAAAACAGGCCTTGTTCCTTTCCAGCCATAAGGTCCATAAGATGCACAGTGGGATGGATCTCCATATCTGCTTCAGCCTTTCGGGTACTCTCTGGGATTGCCACTATACTCGCAGTCTCGTTACGCATCACCCAGGCAACACAACAGATGTTTAAGTATATTTCCCAGCATTATCTAGAAACTCAGCAATGGAGATAATATCTGTTACATACATTGAAGCNTTACGCAATTAAGAGGTAAAGTCATAGCCTCAATTTCTCTGTCATTTTCCTAACACAATACATGAAAACAACTAGAATACACAAGGTCTTTGACAGTTACCTCATTCTGAAGACCAAAAAAGAAACTTCAACTTTACTCTGAACGGCTAAAATGGTAGAAAAATAATCAAGAGGCATAAATAGATCACTGATCAAGATTATCATTTGAACACCGTGAAACCTTGTTCTACTCTGGAAACGAGTAGCAATCTTATAAGTACGTATAAATAATTGCAAAAGAGAAGCCCAGAGGAATAATGCAGACATCGCTCAGCAGCGGTTTTAGCATCAAACAAATATATGGACAACAGTGGATTATAAAGTTAGGGTTACCTGAACATAGAAATTTTAGTTTTCAGAAAAAGTTATACCAGTCAATTTCAAAAAACAATGAACACCTTCATACTGCTGAACATCCACATGATTTGGCCTTTGTTTTAGAAAGGTTATTTAGGTAAGAGAATAGGAGAGTTGTCTGTCAAGAACATTCATAGAAAAACTATTTCTTCTAGAATGGTCATTTCAGCTAGGAGCATGTTGCTTAAGATGGTTGATAAAAATTACTAGTAAATTACTAGCAAATCAGCCTTTCAAAAAACTTTGAATCACAAATGAAAAGGTAAAATACTTGGAACAGAACAAAGCCACCTCAAACTTAAAAGCTCTATGCAAATCAGACTACAAGATATTTGCCAAGGGTGAAATAGTGTATAAGAAGAATTCCCATTATATTCAAGACATAGTGATTTGACACTAGATTTACCAGTACAAGTAAATCAAGTTCAATCATATCAAGCCCGGCGATGATGTACTGTTTTACACAGCACAAACAGACTAACACACTCTACTATGCTTGTTTGCATGTGCAAATGCCCCTTTAGAACTTGAATTCCATTTATTCCCATAATCTAAAAGTGGCAATTCAGAAAGGCAAACCCCTTTTTTATATAACTAGTGACCCAACAAAGAACTAAATAAAGAAATAATAAATTTAGATGTAGTTTTCAAAATCAATTAGGAGTAGTCATGCTCAGTATTAGACTATTATCCTGAAGTGAATGCATGTTCCCCCAGTTATGTTGTCGTATTAGAGGTGATAGACTTTTGCAGCATTGAAGTAGTTTCTACCATAGACGAATTTAGTAAGTGGTATCCAATTTCAAACATTTAAGCATTACCTGGAAATTTGCACATTCAAAGCTGGGAGAGCATGAGAGCAAGCTCATCATCAGAGATCCTAAAATCAACACATGCTCCCAACGAAGAAGCAAGTCTGGCAGCTAATTGATGCTTACACTGGACAAAAAGAGGAATCAAATAAAGAAAGGACAAAAGACATTGGAGAAATAGGGTCGGTAGGTCTCACACAAAGCTGTTCCCCTCTGTTTACAATGTCATAGAAGAAGGAATAACAAGCACAATAATGTTCTGGAAAGCATAGATATTCCTCCTTCCTCTTTGACTCTCCGACAACCTGAGGAAAAAAGGCAAGTCTAATGCTTTATTCATAAACAACTCAAAAACGCTAAGAGGGGTTGGACCTGAAAGATGGAACGACCACTGGGTTTGCCCAAGATCCTTTTTACGCCTCTTTGATCAACTATCCTCATTGCTCGCTCCAAATTTTTCCCAAATAAGAAATGCAATCTACAGAATGTATAGTACCAGAAATCCTATGAATGAAATTGGAATTCAAAGGAACAAGAAAAAGGACAACATTTAATACTGACATTGAAACTTGGTCATCGTTCACTGTAGCAACCCCATCACCAATCAAGAACATGAAAAATAGAAACCCCAAAACAAATTAGCATTACTAGTCAAGTACAGTGCTACCCTTTTTGATATAAGCCCAAAAATAATTAAATTGTGAGGTAGTTGGTTCAAGAAAAGACCTGAATGAGTTGATTGGATACCTTCCCACACCTTTTCTGCAACCAATGCACTAGTGCTCATTCTGAAAACCCTAAAGCAGGGTGCTCAATGAGCCGTTAGTACTAATAAATTTAGAAATTAAAGTAGGAAAGGAACTCAAAAACCAACTGCGATAAAAATGCATAAACTCTCTCTCCCTTTGACCATGAAACAAAGGTTAATTTCACTAAAATTTAATTTATTATAGTCACGTAATAAACTACTGTTAATAAAATAATAGTATCAATTTTCCTAAGCTAGCATTTGGACATAATTTTGATTGAAACGTGAAAAAATGAGTTTTTGAAGATGCAATAAAAAATAGGTTTTGAAAGTTAAAATTGTATTTGGACATGCATTTTACTTGAAAAAAATTTGAAGTTTTGTTAGTAAAAAAGTTCAAGAACTACTCTAGAGTTGTTTTTGGAATTTGAAGATTTTGGTTTTAAAATCTGCCAAAAACATTATTAAAATCTATAAACAAACAGATATTTGAAAATAAAATTTAAAAAAAAGCTCTCAAATTTTATGGTCAAACAGGAGCTAAGTATATTAAAAAAAAATTATTATGTGCCTTCTTTTTCTCTCCAAAAAAATAGAGCCAAATTTATGGGTCCAAAAGTGTAAAATTAGGGTTCACTATTTTGTAAGAGAAAGAGAAGTATCACACAACTTACCCACACTGTACAATTTTTTAACAAAAAATTCAATCATTTCTTTTGTATCACAAAAATAATAGTAATACTATGCCTCCTGCTACCATATCCTTTTGTTTCTTCCTAGCAACTTTCTATAATACTAGTTTTACTGTATGCGCGATGCGCGTGTACCTTGTATCAATATGCCCAAACTTTTAAAACTCACGTAAATAATATTAAAAAAATATATTTAAGTTATAAAATAGAATCAAGAAAATAAATCGTAAATTTATGAAAATGGTAAATATTAAATTGTTGATCCTATTTAGCTAATTCACTAAATGAAGGAATCATGTCTTATAGAATTATCCAATGTTTATGGATTGTAAATATTAATGAAAATGTGAAAAAGCAAATCAAACTAAAAATACATTGGCACTTCAACCAATGTCACCTAAGAAAATAATAAACTAAATGTATGCCTATTCTTGAAATTTTTATTTGGAGTTATAATATAAAACTAAAATTATAGCTAGACATTTGAATTTAGAATATATTATGAATGATGATTTTATTTAACTTGATATTTAATTGGATCAATATGCAACGATGATAATAAATAAAGTTAGTTCAATATGATTTCTAATTAAAATATTCTTATTTATTAAGTGTGCATATATTATTAAGTTGTACCAAAATTAACGTCTGTCACGACCCAAAACTCAACATGTCGTGATGGCGCCTATCACAAAACTAGGCAAGCCGACAATCACAATAAAACTAGGTATTTTTATATAAAAAAAATAAGATGAAGCAAGTTTAATAACAATAACTCTCATAAATAGCCTATATGAACAACTGCGACTCGAATATAAACTTTTTCAAAATTCGGGTGTCACTGAGTACATGAGTATCTATACAATAACATAGTCTGAAACACCGTCTAGGAAGGTAGAATAATATAAGTAAAACTGAGAGATTGTGAAGGAGAGTCAAGGGCTGCGGACGCCAAAGCAGCTACCTTGATAATCTTCGAACGGGGTAAAAACTTCAAGATCAGCAACCACCGTGCCTGAAAATACCTGAATTTGCACACGAGGTGCAGAGTGTAGTGTGAGTACAATCAACTCAATAAATATCGTAATTAAACAAGGTAAGGTAAGAGAAGCTTAAATTATTGATGATATTAGCTATTCCAGTGTAGGTCTGCCTTTTAAACCTGTACATAAATAACATTTAAAACTAACTCATCAAGTTTCGTGAGAAGAATATCCATAGGTGCATGTGTACAATTTCTCAAATACCCTGCTCAAGCCATATCATGGCATGTAGAGGAAGGAACAATTAAATCAGATAAATGATCAAGGAAATGCAAATTCCACACGCTGCATGGACAACTCAAGTGCTATTGATAGAACCTACACGGATAACTCACGTGCCAATAATATCAATATATGGATTTGCACGGATAACTCACATGCCAATAACATAATCCGCCTGGCATAATCACAAGCCTTCAGTCCAAACATATAATACAGGAGTAGTTAAACAAGTATACACGTATATGATGAATGAAATAAGATCCTCGTGCTCCTGGACTGGTATAAATGACATGCTAAAGTATAGACATATGCAAAGTGTGTCATCGTAGCTCAAATCGGCAATTTCATCACTGAAAGGCATTTATCAAGTTCGTTCAGGGATTAACCTCTATGTAGCCTCAGCATGGCTCAAATAGATCACACAAATTGTTACAACATGAGAAATATCATAGCTTAAAGCTTAACAGTCAATCCTCGGTTTATAAGAGCCCGGGCACAACCCGAACATAAATATATGACCCTGGTGCCCGCACATGGGTTGATCCCCACGCATGTGCGCACCCAGTAGCACGTAGCTATCACAACAATTCAGGCAGCTGGTGCCTCAACCGAGTTTAAATAAGATAATTCCCTCAAGCAAATCGAATCACTCCGCTAGCAAGCCCTTGCCTCGCGAATCGCCCTCCAAATGTCTCGAATCTAGCCACAAATAACTCGATACAATCAACACAAGCTATCAGAATCAATTCCATATGAAAATGCTAAGTTCTTAATCAAAAGTCAAAAAGTCAACTTAAAACGTTAACCACGGGCCCACAGCTTGGAATCCAACAAAAGTCATAAAATTCGAATACCCATTCAACTACGAGTCCAACCATATCAAATTTACCAAATTCTGACACCAAATCGTCACTCAAATCCCCAAATTTTATTCTCCAATCCCTAGCCCAAAACTCCCAATATTCTACCTTAAAAATACTTCAACTAGCTGGAAAATTCAATGGGTAATCAATATTATTGAATAAAAATGATCACAAGTGGCTTACCTCAATAAATCACTAGAAACCCTCTCAAAAATCGCCTTAATCCGAGCTTGCAAAGTCCAAAATGACAAAAATCCCGGAAACCCTTCGAATATAATTTGCCCAGGGCCTTTCGCACCCGCGCTCCACTTAACTGCATTTGAGGTCCCGCTTTTGCGGATTCCTCATCGCTTCTGCGATCCACAACCTCCAACCCACTTCCGCATCTACGATCATTCATGCACATATGCGAATCCGCATCTGAGGAAATACCTCTGCACCTGCGCTCCCCAGGTCCCCCCACCTAGCTCCGCACTTGCTCATCTACGCTCCGCATCTGCGATCTCACAGGTGCGGAAAATAACCTCGCACCTGCGACCTCTGCCCAAATCTTTCCAGGCCGCACATGCGATCCCCTTCTCGCTTCTGCGAGCTCGCACCCGTGACCAACCCCTCGCAGGTGTGGTCACACCAGCAGTTCCCCAACTTCAGCACTTCTAATTCCACAAATTCAATATGATTCCCATCCGAATCATTCTTGAGGCCCCCGGGATCTCAACCAAATATTCCAACAAGTCCTAAACACATGATACGAACTTAGTCAAGGCCTCAAATTACATCAAACAATATCAAAAATACGAATCGCACCCCAATTCAAGCCTAATAAAAATTAATGAATTCCCTTCTACAATCGATACCGAAACCTATCAAATCAACTCCGATTAACCTCAAATTTTTGCACACAAGTCATAAATGACACAACAGACTTATTCCAACTTCCAGAACTAAAATCCGAGCACGATAACCACAAAGTCAACTCTCGGTCAAACTTCTCAACTTTCCAAACTTCTAATTTTTCAACTTTCGCCATTTCAAGCCAAAATCGCCTACGGACCACCAAATCAATATCCAGACACACACCTAAGTCCCAAATCACCATAAGGAACTATCGGAACTATCAAAATTTTATTCCGGAGCCATTTACTCATAAGGCAACATCCGGTCAACTCTTTTAATTTAAGCATCCAACCTTGGGACTAAGTGTTCCGATTCATTTCGAAACATCCCCGTAATCAAGCCAACTACCCCTACAAGTAACATAATAACAATTGAGTATAGAATAAGTGGTAAATGGGAGAACAGGGCTACAACACTCAAAACGACCGGTTGGATCGTTACAACGTCTTTATTTATAACTAACTTTTGAATAATCGAAAAGCATAAAGAAATTGGTAGCTTTTGTGCTATCGACCACATGAATAGAATAAAAAACAACATAAACTTTTTATTAAAAGAAGAGGCTGAAACGGGAAAAGTAAAAAAGGAGGGGGCATATATTATGAAGAATCTAAACTCTAATAACAATGGGTTTAGAAAAAAGGATTTTAAAATGTGAGAACTTAATTGGAAAAAAAAGATAAAATTAAATTAGGTAAAAACCAAAACCAAACTGACGAAGAAACACCAAAACCAAACTCATTATCAATTAAGTTTGTTTTGAAACAAAATACCACGAAATATAATTTGTAAGAAATCTTGTTAGTTTACATGTTTAAATAAGGAAAGAAGTTATATAATGTTATATTTTAATTGATTTATAAATCCTAAATATTAGGATTTCTATATGGCTCAAACAAGAAAGATTTAATAAGTAAAAGTTTTAGTTGATTTTAAAGTCTTAAATATTAAAAAAATAATTAATAGACTATTTTGTCTAATATGGACTCTTTTTTAAAAGGGTAAAAAAGGTGAATGACATTTCGCTAAGGAATTTCGTACTTTTAGTATAGTACTAGTATTAGGGTACGCGCTTTGCGCGTGTACCTCATCTTAATAAGTATAAAACTTTAAATTATATAAATATTATTTATTATGTATATTATTGTCACGACCCCAATTTCCCTCCGTAAGATGTCGTGATGGCACCTAGTCTTTAAGACTAGGTAAGCCTAGCACTTACTGAATTAATGGCAAAATTCAACCAACAACTATTAAATATGAAACAGAAATTTCTATACAAAGCCAACAATCCCAAAACCGGTAGTACAAGTCATAAGCTCTACAGAGTTTACTAGCAAATCTCTAAGTACAACTGTTTTGGAATAGAAATAAACTATACACAAACAATTTCCGAAGGTGACTCTAAGGCCTGCGAATGCG